GAGAGAGAGAGAGAGAGAGAGAGAGAGAGAGAGAGAGAGAGAGAGAGAGAGACGTGACGCCGACAATTACAACCCAGTGACTGACTTCTCCTTAGACGACTCCCCCAAAACGATTCAAGGTCCCACCCGCATGATGTAAGTCTATGGTTAACAAGTCACGCCACTTGTAAATTAATTTTAATTATTGATTTGCTGGGCTAATGCGTTTTTTTAGGGAGATGCACGAAGAGCACGCACGACACACTTTTGACAAATAACAGCGGTTAAATTATTTTGTTGAAACTTTCTGATGAGAGAAATAGTAAATTAAACTGCACTCGATAACCCTTTTTAATGTTTGCTATATTAAACAGAAAGTTAGGACTTTGCCCCGTCTTTCTGGGATGTGGAAAGGGATTGAATCATGGAATGATCTGAAAAATATTTTTCAGGTAAAAAGTACCAGGTTAGGGTCGATAAGCAAACACGCCTCGCTAATCAGCTGGTCAGCAACCTGGTGTTTTCATGCTTCCTACTAACATATGTTTGGAAAGGCACGGAAGCTGCAATAAGCACCTTCAAGAGGTGCGCTGCCCCGGGGCGGCTGATGGCCGGGCAGTTGAAGAGGCGCCTCGCTATCTGGCCGAGCATCGTTCGCCCTTGTGCGGGCCAGGCGCCCCACAGTGGGGCTCAGGGGGCCACTTGCAGCGCTCGCAGCTAGGAAGTCGGAAAAGTATTTTGGGGAAATTTTCCAGCAATAATTTTTCTTTCAATCTCTAATTTTTTTTTCCGAAAAGTTTTAGTTTTTCAAATTGTTTTGGAAATTTTTCAAATTTTTCCGAATTTTTCTGGAGGCGTTCATAAATTTTCCGATTTTTGAAAAACAATTCCTATTTGCAGTGCTTGCAGCGCTTGAAGCGCACTACGCAGCACAGGACAACTATTAGCCCGATCCATGATGAGAGTTGCAAATTAAAATCTACCGCTTGCTTTCCTGATCCCTAACACAAACATGTAAAAAATAAAAATAAAATAAAACAGAAACAGAAACAACAATTAGCGTAACGCGAGTGCGATCGGAACACACACTGCGCGCTGTTCCAACGAAAAGGCCGGTTTGATCACCGTCACCGACGACGTGACCCCATTTCTATGCGTTCTGGATTAGCGGGCTGGGGTAGGTGGTGGGGGGCACTGTTCTTACGGCTTCGTGTTTCCGCTATCGGGGGACCCTAAGACTAACTTCGTCCTGCGCGGAGAGCGTGGTTGCCGAGGGGTGCTGCTGCTGTGCTGTTTGTGGTCTGCAGACACTTCACCATGCCCCTGCCTCCCCCTCCGTCCCAAGAATGAAGGACCAGGAGATCCGCGTCTAAATTTACGACAGAAAATTTACAAAATTTATATTGATAAATACTGCCATTCGGGATTTTCATACCCCCAAAATCACATTAAGTAATCATTGTAACCTGCAGGTTACATGTTGCCATCCCTGTCATCATGTAATGCAAGTGTACGTCAAATACATAATGTGGTGTGCCCCTTGCCCATTAGTCCAGTCTGAAGACTGCACTTTACCGGTCCTTGTGGAGTGTTTTTCGTGTTTGAAGTCGTATCACTTCTGCACACAAAAAAGATAAAATTGAACCTGAGGCTCAATTAAGTAACACAATGCCACAAACACTGTAATTTATAACGGTAGGTATCATGAAGTAGCATGTTCAGTATAGTGAGGCTATATTGAGTAACACAATAACACAAACACTGTAATATGTAACGGTAGGTGTAGTCAACACATTGATTTTGCAGTTTATAGTAAAAGTGGGACCTCGCAATCCTGCGTTTCCAACACGGTCCACCGTGGTTTCCACTCCGGGAGTGTAAATGACTGAGCTCGATCCGTTCCCTCTTGCCACTTACCTTACTTTATCGGGAAGCTGGAGCCGGCTGTGGCGGGCTGCGGCACAGCAAGTGACTGACTGGCCTCTGGGGGGTCCGCCAGGCCTGGCCGCAGCGTGCGGCTAAGGAGTCGGGACGGGCGGGGCGGGGTGCGGCGG